CCCTCGTTAGGTAGCGTCAGATCAACTACTGTTATTCCATCCCTCGTTAGACAGGCATTACAGCGTCAGATTAACTACTGGTACCCCGTCCCTCGTTAGATAGGCATTACAGCGTCAGATTAACTACTGGTACCCCGTCCCTCGTTAGGTAGGCATTACAGCGTCAGATTAAATACTGGTACCCCGTCCCTCGTTAGGTAGGCATTACAGCGTCAGATTAACTACTGGTACCTCGTCCCTCGTTAGGTAGGCATTACAGCGTCAGATTAACTACTGGTACCCCGTCCCTCGTTAGGTAGCGTCAGATCAACTACTGTTATTCCATCTCTCGTTAGACAGGCATTACAGCGTCAGATTAACTACTGGTACCCCGTCCCTCGTTAGGTAGGCATTACAGCGTCAGATTAACTACTGGTACCCCGTCCCTCGTTAGGTAGGCATTACAGCGTCAGATTAGCTACTGGTACCCTGTCCCTCGTTAGGTAGGCATTACAGCGTCAGATTAACTACTGGTACCCCGTCCCTCGTTAGGTAGGCATTACAGCGTCAGATTAACTACTGGTACCCCGTCCCTCGTTCGGTAGGTAGTCCAGCGTCAGATTAACTACTAGTACCTCGTCCCTCGTTAGGTAGGTATTACAGCGTCAGATTAACTAGTGGTACCCCGTCCCTCGTTAGGTAGGCATTACAGCGTCAGATTAACTACTGGTACCCGTCCCTCGTTCGGTAGGTATTACAGCGTCAGATTAACTACTGGTACCCCGTCCCTCGTTAGGTAGGTATTACAGCGTCAGATTAACTACTGGTACCCCGTCCCTCGTTAGGTAGGCATTACAGCGTCAGATTAACTACTGGTACCCCGTCCCTCGTTAGGTAGGCATTACAGCGTCAGATTAACTACTGGTACCCCGTCCTTCGTTAGGTAGGCATTACAGCGTCAGATTAAATACTGGTACCCGTCCCTCGTTAGGTAGGCATTACAGCGTCAGATTAACTACTGGTACCCCGTCCCTCGTTCGGTAGGTATTACAGCGTCAGATTAAATACTGGTACCCCGTCCATCGTTCGGTAGGTATTACAGCGTCAGATTAAATACTGGTACCCCGTCCCTCGTTCGGTAGGTATTACAGCGTCAGATTAAATACTGGTACCCCGTCCCTCGTTCGGTAGGTATTACAGCGTCAGATTAAATACTAGTACCCCGTCCTTCGTTAGGTAGGTATTACAGCGTCAGATTAACTACTGGTACCCGTCCCTCGTTCGGTAGGTAGTCCAGCGTCAGATTAAATACTGGTACCCCGTCCCTCGTTAGGTAGGTATTACAGCGTCAGATTAAATACTGGTACCCGTCCCTCGTTCGGTAGGTTGTCCAGCGTCAGATTAACTACTGGTACCCCTTCCCTCGTTCGGTAGGTATTACAGCGTCAGATTAAATACTGGTACCCGTCCCTCGTTCGGTAGGTAGTCCAGCGTCAGATTAACTACTGGTACCCGTCCCTCGTTCGGTAGGCATTACAGCGTCAGATTAAATACTGGTACCCGTCCCTCGTTCGGTAGGTAGTCCAGCGTCAGATTAAATACTGGTACCCGTCCCTCGTTCGGTAGGTAGTCCAGCGTCAGATTAACTACTGGTACCCGTCCCTCGTTCGGTAGGCATTACAGCGTCAGATTAAATACTGGTACCCGTCCCTCGTTCGGTAGGTAGTCCAGCGTCAGATTAAATACTGGTACCCGTCCCTCGTTCGGTAGGTAGTCCAGCGTCAGATTAAATACTGGTACCCGTCCCTCGTTAGGTAGGTATTACAGCGTCAGATTAAATACTGGTACCCCGTCCCTCGTTAGGAAGGCATTACAGCGTCAGATTAACTACTGGTACCCCGTCCCTCGTTAGGTAGGCATTACAGCGTCAGATTAAATACTGGTACCCCGTCCCTCGTTAGGTAGGCATTACAGCGTCAGATTAACTATTGGTACCCCGTCCCTCGTTAGGTAGGCATTACAGCGTCAGATTAAATACTGGTACCCCGTCCCTCGTTAGGTAGGCATTACAGCGTCAGATTAAATACTGGTACCCCGTCCCTCGTTAGGTAGTCCAGCGTCAGATCATTTGCTGGTTCTTAGTTCCTCGTTAAGAAAGGTACCAAGACTCTCGTTAGTTAGTTTAGGCTGATTAAATCTTCTTCCAGCTCTAGACAAATTTCTCTAGTAACGTGTCTGTAGCTTACTGAACTTTGACCTCTTGTGTTTGTATTTGAAGAAATAGTGATATCTTTACAGTCAACTTGTTTAGATGTAGCAAAAAAAAAACGAAAAGAATTAGTTCTGCAACATATATAGGTACAGCTCCCACAATTTCTGGGCATGGTGTTAATATGTCAGCAGTAACTATGAGATGATCTGATTTAGTTTTCATCATTCCCTTCGAGTCAGTTGGCGGAAATATAGTGAAAGTTATTAAGTGGCGGTTGTCTCCCTTTATACAGGAAATGTTTATAGCAGAACTCTGGAAGTGGGATTGGCTGATGTAACATTGGAGCGTATTGGTTGATCCTATAATCATTCATTGTGCCGGAAGTTTGATCGTTTGTTGGGCCAGTCTTCATTCAAACTATATTGGAGATACTGATGTTGTTTTTACTATGATTTTGCATATGGCTGACCCTTTGTGCTCCTCCGAAGATTTATGTCTGAAAATTGTTTTACTGCTAAATCTGGTGTTGACCAGAAGTCGTACATTTTGAACAACAACCGCTCATGTTTGTCATATTGAGAATGTGAATATGAACATGAGCCGTATTTGTGGGTCATTTTGATACAAATGACTCCAAACTTATGGTCGTGTCAAAGTATTCTTCAGTCTCTTTAAATCCTACAGAAAAATATATATTGATAATCATACGTCGGACGTCGGACAGAGTTTTGCTTTATCACAAATAATAATCGTCCGCTTCCCAATAGATGAACAGAATGCTTTCTACTCTCCCCGGAGGTGTCATACGAGATCAGACGTTTGATAATTATAAATATGGATGGCGTATTTAAAAAAAACCAAATGGTTTATGATAAAGCTCTTAATAGCATTTTCTGCATGATTAAAACAATGATGATATTCATCATAATAAACTCCTAAATATATCCATCAATTTCAGTGGTGATTGGTATATTTTTTCTTACCTGAATTGTAAGTTAGACAGGTGTTACGACCGTAATGTTCACATCAAATATGTGACAAATTTGACAAGCGCTGTGATCAATCATCCCGACAATGGTCATATTCGCATAAAGTAACATTAAACCCATCATCTGTATACAAACAGGTCACAAGGTACGGCAAATAAACTTTATATCTTATTATGAATCTTTTAATCATTCAAATTGACTTTTGTAATGTTTTGATGAATTACTGCGGAGGAGTCAGCGAAAATATTTGATATGAAATTAAAACAAATCTATCAGAATATTTTGAGTATAACTACGTCTAGTGACAGATGAGGCTTGTCAATAATGTTGTGCTTAGCTACAAATATATTGTAACTGACTAGAAATATACCGATAACGTTGAAAGGACATATTGAGTAATAAAACGTTTTTACAAAGATAATACATTAAAAAGGAAATATTTGTATTTGGAGTAACACACGAAAAAGTCTTTTCAGATGGAGAAGCTAGATTGAGAAATAATTTTTAAATAAGTAAAAGTAAATATTAAGGTAGGGAGTGAAATTCTTCCATATTTCAGAATAAATTACACTTATTACATATATAGTTACAACAAATATATCTCAATATTTCATTAATATAATCAATTTTGTAAAGATAATATATTCATCAAGAGTTATAAAACCTCTTTATATTTGAAACTTTTTCCCCGTTAAATTCTGGCATCAGAAAAACGATTACTAAAAAATAGAAGGATTCTTTCAAATGGCAAGTGGTGGGCATTGAAAGTTAACAGTTATGTTTCAAAGATGTGCTATACAGCATTTGATAAAAATATGGAAAACAAACGAAGAATTACAGAGAGACTACTGAAAAACTACAAGAATAAGACCATGTGTTCCGGAAGAGTAAGCGTCTTCTGCTTCATCGACGACCTACGTCATGTAAACCTTGGTCAGTTCAAAGAAGTAATGTCACGTTCTCAAATAAAAACAATGCATGCAACAACGGAAGAAACATACAAGCAAACTAACCTGCATATAACACAAAGAAATAGAATATTTTACAATGAGATCACTATGACCGTAAATCTTCCCCATAATTTTTGTCAACCGATATAATTTTTAAACGTGTTTGTTCGTCAATTGTGGATTTATTGCACGAAAATCGTAATAATGGAAACAGGCCGTTGAATATCGAATCAACTGCAACATGTAAACAAGCTGGGGATGCTGTGATATTGCTATTCAGAAATGGAAAGTTCATAATAGGAAAATTGATATCATCACGTTTATCAAACATGCTGGTTTCGCTATAGGAAAAGATCGAGATAAACGGCGGATGTAAAAGGGCCTGTCTTGTCTTTTTTATTTCGAATTCTGTTGGGGATATACGATGGACGTAGTCAATAAATTTCTTGTTATTTAAAGACAAAACGTCATCAATATATCTGCAAGTGAAATCAAACGACTTGGCAAGGTCTGTGTGACCTGTTTTGATAAACTCTTCGACAAATATACCTTCGTATGAAAACCAAAACAGGCCAGCCAACATAGGGGCACAATTGGTTCTAATATGTCTGTTGGGAGGTTTTACCACGAAACTAACTTATGAAACGTACAGCTATATATATGATATATAAGGATCTTAAATGCAGGTTTAAAAGTACCCAACAGTTTAAACCTTTCTGTTTTTTTTTCATGCTGGAATTAATCAGAAATCAAACTGCAATATACGTGTATTTACATTTGTCTGGCTATTGTATATATAATAATTCCTGAAAAAGAGAATGTGTATTCACAGTGCTTACAGCTTTACAAAATGAATAAGGAAATACTCACAACGCCATCACATAATGAAATCGAGGCTGGTGCATCACTGTGTGAAGTTACACTTCCGGTATATTGGCACTGCGATTGTGACCAGGCACGAGTTGTCTCCGCTTGATCTTCTTGCATGTCTTCATGTCTTTGGCTACGACGCCTATACACTTTGAAGCCTGGTGCTAACAAATGCTGATTCTGCCATAACTTTACTTGAAACTTATGTCCGAAGCCTTCCACTTCCGCTTGTAACACACTCACGTTATGTTTTTGATATGAGGTATCCCGTCTTTCTCTGTTGCTATGGTAATGGAATTGTTGTTGATGGAAATGATGATTTAACTGATCATGGGAGACATGTTGTCCTTCTAGGTCGTAAAATTTTGGAATGGTTATATCAAATTCTGAAAAAGAAATTATATTAATGTATGAAATGCTACAAAAATTTAAATAAAGAGACGAAAACTTACTTCTCGGGTCAATCTTTGTCAGATAAATCTGGTTAGGCTAATATAATATTATAATTTTGGAACTGCAAATATCTTTGTATGCAGTAACGACACACAAATGAGACAACGTACAGACAATAAAAACAATTTTAACAAATAATTCTAGATTATGTTTCAAGTGATTCTGATTCATGAAGAAAGCACATGACTTTCAAAGTGTGCTTAAATAAATGTGATATTAGTAAGAAAACATTTTCAAAATTAATTTCTATCTTCGTTTACGAGGAAGTTCTAAATTAACCATACCTTACAATGATACAATGGTAGATTCGTCCCTTTAACAGACATATTCAGCAATATAAGATATCTTATGTTGACAGAGTCATTATTTATGGTTTTTTAATTACCCGACTCTACATGTGTGGTATATCGAAACTCAGCTATAGTTATACTGTACAGGGGAGAGTTAAAAAAAACAGGAGGCGTTCCAACCGTCCTTGTTAGAAGTTCAGACGTAGTCAGAGCAAGATAAGATAATGTGAAATGTCAAATACTGGTCCTTAATTGTTACAGAAACTGGACTCCAACACCACGGAGACAATAATAAATGTATGTTTAATCAGAAAATGACAGGCGTAGCCAGTGAAATATATTACTAGTCGTGAAACTAGAATTTTTTTACTTCAGTATTGTGTTGCGTGTTGTAAATTTGGCATATATCTGTACTTGTTTCCCCACTTCTTCGCGACAGATGCTATTGTGATTGTGAAGAGTGTCTTTTGAAGACGCGGTCACTTTCCGGTCCCTTATCTTGCAGTGTCTACAGTAAACACATGAAAAGTCATTTTGACAACCCACACTTTTTATATAAAAAACATAGAACTCTGAACAGATGTACATTTATTAGGGTGGTCGGTTGGTGCAGTGGTATGTGAAACTATCGTACTGGCCTTTAAGATTAGCAACCGGGGTTCGATTCCCAAATCGGATGTGAAAAGGTCCATATCTGCCCGATCACGTGGTTTTCCCAATGGGTATTTTTGAGTACCTCCAACTGAGTACTGATTAATTTAAGCTGTGTCTCGCAATAATTGTATTTTTTTTATCCAATACAAGAATTTACATTGCATTTTCGTCGTTTAAAGTTAAATATTCTGAACTATGTATGTGTGTATTATTATGTGGCTTAGTTGTTTGATACAGTGTGATGACGTTGGACTAGGGCAGTGTACTTTCAGATGTCTTTTCGGAAGTTTGATACAACTGCGTGCAAAATTGTATGTTAACTATTGCGGTTCTCAGTGTGAATGTCTTCAGCAAAGGCACTCCCGCTCTTATCAACCTCATAGTGTTTCAACACTGATATAAAGATTATTAGAAAACTGAACGAAAGTCAGGATATGACTAACGAATACATGTTCGACTGATATTTCTGTTATACGAGAACTGTTCAAAGTGACGTCACAAAGATGAGCGCTCTTTTGATAGGCTACGTAAGGTAACACCAAGTCCAGGATATCGATTGTGGGCTAAAGCGAAATCAGTGACGTTTATGGAAAACCTTGCGGTTCTGTGACTTGCTGGAATTTCAACTAATCTGATTCCTGGAACAGACGTGAATAGGTAGGTGGTCACCTGCCCGACCACATGAGTTTTCCCCGGGTACTCCGGTTTCCTCCCACAATAAGACCTCTCGCGCTCTTGCATCCGGGCCAACAAGAGTGATTAGTATAAGTTGCTATTACTTGTTTCGCAATTGTTGTAAAATAAATAAAGTTTACATCAACAGCAAGTGAGGCTACTTGGCTAGATCAAGCCGAATGCTGAGAATCTTTGCAGGGTTATCGTTCGTAACTGAGCATTACGCAATCGCTAGTGCAACAATGCCCCACCTCAACCCCCATTGGTCGCCATTATTAGCTACTCGTGGTCTGAGCTGAATTATCAAAACGACCTTTTCAATATCATGATGTTTGTTAGCCCGTGAGACTTATCTTTTGATTAAAGATGCTGTGTGCAATAAACTAGCTGTCATAATTCACTGTACATTTGGTTTGCTTTGACACAGGGCGGTATGTATCGCCAAGTGATCCTACGTGAAACATGAACAGGCGAGAAAATCAACTGCAGAAGGCATGCAGACTCCAGTCTTACGATCACCGGGACAAAACACTGAGCTACAAAATTCCAAGACCCCGTTAGATGCCAAGGTACCAATTATTCAGCCTTGTATATCAACAGCAATACCAGAAATCACCAACACTGCATGTAAATGTCCTGATATCGGGTTCCTCAGTCAAGTCCAAAATTGTAGGAACAAGTTTACTGACAATGGACTAATCCTGAATTCCGGGAAGATGATGGTAAAGGAGAAATTTACTTCTGGATTTAAGGACGGTTCCTTGTCGGTGGTTAAAATTCTTTAATCAAAGACCATTATGTTTGGGTCATAATGTTCGAAACGCCATCCAAATCTAGAGCATGCATTGATACGGTATGCCCGGATGGTTCAAAATCTAGCCTAGGAATATGGCGATGCCGCGGCAATCTCTTACGATAAATTCTTTCGTCTGTGACACGAGCAGGAGCCTGAAGACTGCCCTTAGGGACACTTAAATGTGGTCCTATACCATGAGGCATTGGCAGCTATTTTACGTTCAAAGTCTCGTGGAAAACACTGTCAGTCCTTTCGCTCCGACTCGAGCTAGAAACTACTGCTTCAGAACAAGAAACGTGTATTGCCATACAGTCAACAACATCAGAGGCGTTTTTCAGCGGCGACAGTCATGCACATACATCCACATGTGTGAGTATTGTGGGGAACCAATGGTAGATCAAAGTACCCGAATCCCAACCCCATTCAAATATCAAACTCTGTCAAAAGCATCCTGGTGAATCGTGCACACTTGCTTACTGTAAACTGGACTGCAAATTTCTGTGTCAGTTTAAAATATGGCCGTCCTTCAGTACAGAACACCTGTTTCCTAATGGATTGTGAAACTACCATTCAGAATTATAATAACAAATGTTTCATTATGATCAACCGAAAGAAAAATATATCCTTACATAGGACAATGAACCGCGGACTAAGTTTGGAGTCAGTGACTGGATTCATCGACACGGAAGAAGCGGGACGGCGAATACCTGTTATAATTCACGTATCACTAAATTGTGCATTTACTGTATGTTCGGGCGGTATCTTTAAATCTTGGACAATAACGACAGCTACAGCTAACCAAATTTACCAGATGTGGAAAGACTTCCCAAGACGTGCCCTTCAGATACACCAGGATAATCACAATATCACAATGTTGCGATAACTATGAACAAGTATGAAGTGAAGGAATTACTGAACAAGTTACAAGTAGCGATAACTATGAACAAGTATGAAGTGAAGGAATTACTGAACAAGTTACAAGTAGCGATAACTATGAACAAGTATGAAGTGAAGGGGTAACTGACCAAGTTACAAGTAGCGATAACTATCAACAAGTATGAAGTGAAGGAATTACTGAACAAGTTACAAGTAGCGATAACTTTGAACAAGTATGAAGTGTAACGAAAAATGTGAATAAATATCAAGTGTGGCGATAGTTTTCAAAAAGTATTAAATGAAGCGATATTGCTGAACAAGTTCAGTGTGTAGCCATAAATGCGTGAAAAAGTATCAAGTGTAACAATATTTGTGAACAAGTTATCAATATGTCTATAAAAGTGAACAAGTAACATGTTCAGCAATCACTATGAACAGATAGAAAACGTATGGAACAAGTATGCTGCCAGCTGTGAGCAAGCTTCTTATCCATTTGAGGATTTGTCTTGTCTCTAGAGTCAGTGTAGCAAGCCTTATGAAGCTCGGTCTAACACTAACTCTATTTGGTCAGTTTTAGACGATTAGTCACATCAGGTGAACTTACTAAACTCCTTCGCCGCAAATAATTTGTTACTACCCACGAAATTAAATATTTATTTTCCTTAAAAGAGGTAAAAAAAATAAATGGCCAACACATATAGACTTAACAAACAGAAGTACACTCGGCTGATTTAGGTTTTACTTTGTATATCAAACAGAGCTCCATCTGACGTATTGTGTGATATCCGAACAGGTAATTTTCACACAGGTAAAATCTGTTTGATCTCTTGTTAGCTCGGTACGACTTAATGCAAATCAACGGAGTGACCTGGTTTTAAAACCACACAAGATGCTAAGTGCATTACACTGTAAGTCTATTCAATATACTCTAATCTTTGTAATGAATAAAATAAATTGTATTTTGAATTCGGGAATGATCAAAGACAGTTCTTGTGCTAGCCTGTTTAACATATATATGACTGTTACTATTGTAAATGGATGCGCTGCTCCTTTAGACATTCATTGAGAGGATACATTTGTAAAGTTATGTAAACTACTAAATAACAGCCATTCATATATTTGATTCATTCACAAATAGGCAGTTTAAGAGTTTTTCGTGTACACGTACCTGTTACCTTTGGAGTGGCCTGGTGCAATGTACGTCTTCTTACTACAGACCTTCGACTACATAAACCATAGCTATCTATTTCACAGCAATCTAATGATTGTTCATTTTAGCGAGCTTCTGGCAAACTCTAGCGAAGAAAATCGAGAGATCTATCAATTTCGCTTGAAATGAAAGTGAAAGTAAGATTTATTTTCTCCAAAATCAAGTTTTTTTCACAATTCCGATGAACACAATTTAAAACTAATTTCACATGGAGATGTATTACATTCATCACATAATTCTGCAATTTGGATTTTGTGATGTAATAAAGGCATGACGTCATGATTTATTTGTGTAATCAGTATAAGTGAATATGGTTTGAATGTGTTAAGCCATCAAAAGGATGCATGTTGCAATATCAACAGTGATGGAATCTTCCATAGAATATTTGTAAAACAATTGTTTATAAACACAAATAAATATATATCTCATGAA